AGCACGTCTGTACGTCTTTACCTACCCCTACGGCCCGTCATGGCCGAGCTGCTCTACACTCCCATCACACACAACTGAGCCACCCGAATTATCGATCAGGCGGAATGTTAGCAGGAGAGGAAGACGAAGCCTTTGCTGCTGTGGGGCTCAGCCATCCCCGGCTTGAGAACGTGAGTCCATCACTCAAATAGCATACAGGTGTCAGCGTACCGGAAAGATTTGGTAGGCACTTGTTCGCGTGATTAAATGTTAATGCACCAAACTGCAACCTTACGTTCTAGATCGCTGGTGACCATCCGCTTTATTGCTGTACCAGGACGGCGATAGCGACGGGGGTTCGGAGCGGGACGAGAGGGCACCCAGCGAGGGCGAAGGGGAAAGTTGCAATGCCGGTGAGAGCGTCGACAGGTGTCCTGCCCATTAATCAAGGGTTTCGTGCGTAGCACCAGTCGCCGAGCGTTGGCACCTCGAACGCGTTGTCGTCGCCAATTGGAGTTTGCCGCTGCCGTGACGTAGTTCATCGGTGTGCATGGCACGTGTTGTCGAAACTATCCGGTTTGTTTTTGTTTTTTTCTGTTTTTTTACCTCGCACCCACACGGTCTTCTCCCCTGCTGCGCAGAAGAAAACGTGCGTCGCCGTTTGGTAATGGCTGACCGTGACGATGATGACGAAGAGACGAGGGAGATCGTGGACGTCATAGACAACATACGGGAAGAGGAGCGTCAGAGGAAGTCAGAGAGCGCTGAGGAAGATGAACCCACGGTTGACACCAAGGTTGTCTTCACTTTTCATTTGGACGGATGTGAATGGAAAAGGATTCAACAGAAGTGGTGGGGTGGGGGGCGGTTGTTTTCTTCCCATCCAAATATCGCCCTACATCGTGTGTCGTATCCTGCGCCACCTGTAGTCATGAAGGAAGACGGCCATGTCGGCAAAGCCTCATTTTGTCCTGTATCCCTCTCGCCCATGTGTACCCCCCGTTGTAAACGATTAGACCTACGCGGAAGCGGCAAAGGCCACACTGGTGGTGCTTCCCAAAGGAAGAGGTGTTGTTTCTCCGGTTATCAAACAGGTTCTCAAGGAGTGTTCAGAACACGCTGAGTTTGTGATGCCCTTGGCACAGAAACTCAGCGACACGAACTGCTTGGGAGCTACGATTTTGTCGTGGTGGGATTTCCTTGTGGGGCTCCTGCGCGATAGTGTTGGCAAGGCCCCTGACTCTCGGCGGGTAGCTGCCTTCTCGAGCCAGCGGAGGCTGGTTCGCCCTCGCATGATGCAAGAGTTTCTGAGGGACGACCGGACTTATGCAACTGCCGTCACGCTAGTGGAACATGAGGATGAAGCGGTGCGGCGACTCGGTATCGTGTTCAATCTTGTTGACAAGGTGAGCGGGTGAGGTGGTGGGTCATGTGGAAGCTCCGCGTAGAGACCTTTGTTGTATTCTGAAGTTGCAACTTCTTCCCCACGCGTTGTTCAGCGGTATATGTCGGTTCCCTCGCGTAATAAACAAGGTCTCGCTTCCCTGTAATCCACTTCGTGCAGGCCACGTGGCAATTCTTGGCGGACGAGATCACCAAGGTGAACATATTGAGGGTGGAGTACCCTACTACCCGGTACGAGTTGGACCAGGATCGGCGTGAAGTAGTGTATTTCCTGTCCGGGTGGCTGTTGAGCAGCGCCCTCTCTCATGTGACGAGTCACAAGAGGGATGGTCCAGCGTTCACAAGTTTTGTCAATAGTCACCAGTATGAGGATGCCGCCCAGTTTGTGAAGGTGCATCCCGGGCTGAAAGGGTTGGAAAGGGAGGTGGACAGGAGAAACGTTAAATGGCGAGGTCTTAGTCTCATCTTTGCCGACGCATCGTTCTTCGAGTTCGTGTACACGCTGGAGGACGGGTACCTTCACGCGCTCAAGCAACCGGCGCTGTTTGCCACATACCAAGGTGACCTTCCCGCCAAGATATTGGAGGTCGTGTCTAGCGCCACGCCGGTGAAGATGGCTTTTCGCCGCTGCGTAGATTCTATTCGGAAGGAAGCCGGGAAGGGTGTAGTCATGCGTAGCTATGGTGTGCTTTTCGACTTTTTCTTACTGAAGTGGCACAACATGCGCATGGCCGACTACGCGAAGAAATTGTCCAACGCTCAAAAAGTTGTGGAGCAGAGGAAGGACAAAAGTGCAGAAAAGGGGGGCGATAAGGGTGCCTTGAGGGATCGGCTCAAGTCGATGGTGAACAAAAAGACCGGGGTTAGGACCGAGACTCGTAAACCAACAACACCGGAGAGACAGAAGCGTGTTGATCTTGCCGACTCAATAGGATTTAGGGACTTCATGAGGCTCACCAAGGGCGAACTTGCTTCCCGTATCAAGGCGTGTGGTGGAGTTGTTTCTGGGAGGGAAAGGCAGTATGACCTCCGGTCTATGTTGAGGGCGATAGCGCCGGGCGAAGGTGAGGATGTAGATCCGGCGTGCCGCGGAGAGTCCAAGCAGGGTGAGGTAACACAAATTGCGCTACAGGCTTTCCTTCGGGCTCAGCGTTAGCCGTTGTATCGGGCGGACGATCGGTAGCGGAGGCTGGCCGGCCCGCATGTATCGGTGTTTAGATTTTATGAGAAACAGTTCTTGGATTTTGTTATATGGTCACGCCCTCCTGCCTATCATCTCATGTCGTCCACGAGGTGGCTCATGGGTCGGCACATTTTTTCTTTGTTTGTATTTTGTTTTGTAAGCGACTGACCCCGTCATCTTTCTCCTGCGTTTTGTATATCTGCATCGCATCATGCACTCTCAGTGCACCCCTTGTCTGGCTTTCGGTCGCTACCTTGGGCCCTGTGACCCCGAGTACGCCGAACAAGGCTGTGCCATTTTGTTCGTTCTGGGTGGCAAGTACGGCTCTCGGAAATAACCAACAGACATCAGTACATTCGAAGCAGCCAAAAGGAACTTCGACAAGACAAACAAAATGACACAGTTGGGTGAAGTAACACGTTGCACGCACGGTGTAGTTCTACCGTGCGTATGGACAACCTGACAATAGATAGGTCCACACACAAAAGTCCGACGTATCTCTCGACGCAACATTGCTCCGGACTCCGGACAACGAGTCTGGGGGGAATGGATGCAAACCGCAGAGCGGCTACAGGGCCTAACTCGCGCGACAGTAACCGACAAGATTGTTTAACTGGCCGCAGTGCCTAGTTCCTCGACTTGGTTTTCCCAAAGGAGAACTGCACTCTCACGCAAGGACCCCGTGACCCCCGCCAATGCCTCCGTGAGGGTGACTACTCAACTCTGGCGGCGCAAACTCCTCGCCTCGCGGACGAAGCCAGCCCTGCCCGCCCCCTCTGCCCTCATCGGATATCTGCGTTGTTGCTCGTTCACCGGCAGTGTAGCTTCGGCTGCCGCGCTAACCATGTCTAGCTTGAAAGCGTCTTTACCACGGTCCGAGTCGCGACGCTTGGACATCTGAGCCTTTCTGACTACATCCGCGCGGTGACCCGCGGCGAAGGCAGACTCCTTGCGGGGATTCTTGTGACATCCCTGATTGGCCCTGATGTGGCCGAACCTTTTCTCGCAGATGTCCTGCGGCACGGGTATCAAGGAATACGGGGAGGCTGGATGGGGGAGGGGAAGGTGGGATTCGTTGAGAGCCAAATTTCCCACTAACCCTGAGATGAAGCCGGATATGCATCGCATGAAAAATCGGTCGCCGTGCTTCGCATTTAACGTCAACACACAATCCGCATGTCCGTCCA